GTGGCACCTCCAGGCCTCCCCTGTGGGGAGCAGATGGAAGAGGACGTGGTGGATATGTTGTCCCTCTCCCTGTGGGAGCAGCTTTCTGTCTCGGACCTGCCCCAAAGCTCGCAGGCTGTAGCTCAGGAGGGAGGAGCAATTTTTAGGTCACAGTTGGGTCTCCCAGTTTGGCAGCAGAGTGTGTGGGGTCTTCTCTTCCCCCGTGGTGGAGAGGTGGAGGGCTGTGTGCCGCTGGCCGGTCCCCTGCCTGTCAGGACTGAGGGTTTTACCTCAAGAGCTTCACAATGTAGGGCAAGTTCTGGTCGTATGCATGTGCTCCTGCAGGCCTGGCTGGAGGGGCAGGGGACTGTCTTCAGTCTGTTCTTGTTGGCCAGCCCTGTCCATTTCCCAAATTGTCCTGTATTCCTGAGCCAGCACCAACGTGTTTTGGCTGAGGGCGGCTGGGAGGATGTCAGGGTATTGATCTGGCAGGCTGGCACAAAACGCTTCAAGAATTAATTTAGTCTCGGAAAGGGCCAGGGAAGTCAGTATTTCCCCGCTGGGACCTGCCTCTCTCCTTCCCCTGTTTGGGCTAACTCTGGTTGGGCTTCCCTGATACCACCCGGAGAGCCGGGAAGTGGGCTGGCAGGTGCCGTAGCGGTTTTACACTGCCCTCTGCACTGCCAGGGCTTCATTCAGCTGCTTTAGCTGAGCTGGTGTGAGTTTTCCCCTCAGCTTTTCAGGCTGTCTCTCCCATTTTGAGGCTGGAGCATAGTGAGGTAGCGTAGAGAAAGCTGCTCCTACCCTGTGGCGTGTTTTGCAAGGCTAAATGCATCCCCAGCCTCCTTGTCCCTCCATAAACCCACCTGCGGTGCTGGCCGGAGGGGCAGCCAGCTCAGTCTGGAGACCAGGCTTACAGGAGGCAAGGAAGGAGGATCCATGGTGCGCGTTCATAACTGTGCTTTTTCTTTTTCTCCCCTCTGCACCCCGCTCCCCTTCAGCTGTCAGCTCCGATATGTTAAGCCCATTTGTGCTCCTGCTTCTCTCCCACCCCTCAAACCACCTCTGGGGTTTCCATCCCTTTCTCTGTCTTTGGCTTTTGATGTTTCAGACAGGCATATGGTGGCCGGCCTGTCTCCCTCGCTCCTCGTCCATCACCCGCTATTCGCTATGGCAGCAGTTCCTGAGGGACATTTGGGTTTAAAGGGTGAGATGTCCCCTCCTTTTCCCCACTCCTACAGCTTTCAAGCTTCCTTGCTGTAAAGCTTCTCGGACTGTTTTGTCATCTGTGTGTCATTAGCAGGGAGATATTGGGGGTTCTTTTGCATGACTGCATTTGAAGAACTTTTTCTGCTTGGGTCTCATGTGAAAGAAGGAAGGAAGGAGAGGTGAGGCAGCAGCGTTTTCCTCTTCTGTGAGGAAAGCTGCCTTAGTGTGCAACCCTTGAACGTGGGCTGATGTCGTACCGTGCTCCTCTAGTGTGTGTGCCTTGGGAAGAGTAGGAGTCCCCACCCTTATCACCTCGCAGCTTCTTCTCAGAGTCTGCGTTAGAATTCACAAAATCCCAGCAGCAAATGTGCGTCATGTCCCTTCTGAACAGATGTCGGCACCACAGTGTTTCTCTCGGCCTGTGCTTTGGAAAGGGAAGCCAACTGGAGGTTGACTGCATCGGGGTGACTGGGAGGGTGAGCGCGTGATCTCATCAGCTGCCATTGACGGCAGTCAGAGACACGGGGCGGGAGCAGAGCTGTCTGGAAGGGGTGGCAGAGGTTGGGTCGGGGGGCAGACAGTGTGTGTGCTGATCGTCTTTGTGGATGCAATTAGAGAGCATGGGATAGGTGGTGAATATGTGTCTCTTCCTTACAGTCCGTGGCAACTGTCCAGCATGTTGCTTGCCCTGGCTGTTGCTTTTGGGAAGTGCGTAGGTGGTAGGCAGGAGTAAAAGGTTCAGTTTGACTTGATGGCTTTCCATTAAGCTGTAGAGAAGAATCACAGGTACGCAGCAGCCATCCGGTCTTTTCAACCTTTTCCTCAGAGACACAGACCCCGCAGGAAGCCTCTCATAGTAGGAAAATTCTTCTCAGCTCCAGGTTTTTCCATTCCCGTTTTGATACTGCAAAAAAACAGGTTCCGCTACTTCGCAAGCAGAGAAAGGGAAATAAGAAAAATCTCTTGTGACCGCTAGACCTAGGTAGAACTCAAACTCAGTCGTTCCAAGACTGACTTGTTCTCAGCTCTCCACGAGGGATGATTGGTGAAGTGATATAACATCTCCTGGATTGCAAGTATGTCATATGGAAAATGCCTGTCTCTGATATTTGTTTATTTATTTAAAACTGAGGTCCTGCAGTCTTCGCAGATGAGGGGAGACACATAAGCCCCTCTGAGTGGGCTGCTAGTGTTTCGCTTTCATATGGCACCTCGTTCCTGCTTGTGGAGCTTTTCAAAGCAATTTGCAGAGCTGAAGACTGAATTCTAACTGCATGTTTTACTGCAAGCTGGACCTGGCACGGCAGAGCTGTGGCAGTCCTACGCAGCACGTAGGAATTTGTTTCAGCTTTGTATCATCACCACCTTGCCTGCGATAGCGCTGGCTTTCTCTTCCCAGAGGGAAGAGGGTTGTTCTGCGATTGGCGTGGGCTGGAGTGACAAGTGCTGCAGTGACTAGGGGTGCATAGGTGGAGAGCGCGAGGTAGGGGGGAGAATCAAAGTCTGGAGCTGGGAGGCTTGGGCAACTTTAAAATCAACAATTTACCTTTGATTTTTCACTGATTTTTCCAAGTGAGTAGCAAAATCCAATAGATTGTTTGACAGAGATTTTTATTTGGTTTCTTTTCGTTTGTCTCCTGCTGCCTAGGAGTGGGTTTATCATAGGCAGTTCAGCATCGCAGTGAGCTCAGGAAAACTGTGTTCACAGAGCAGCTCAGCTTCCCCCTTACCACACACTGAGTCAACAGAGGTCCCCAAAAAAGGATGCTGAGCAATGACTCCAAGTACACTATTTTTTGGAGCACTATCCCTTTCTTTAAGACAGAAATAGAGCCCTATTTTTCTCCTCAGCTGTGCTCTCATCATACTGCTTGCACCCATTTAAATGTATATGTGACATTAAGGATTATTAGGGACTTTTATTTTAGGAAATGAACTTGCATCAATAAAGTGTTCTTAAAAGCCCTGGATGTTTTTGGCTGTACCTTCAGGATCGACTTCTGCAAACTCTTCAGATATTGAACTGAGGAGAAGAGAGGAAGGAAGTCAGGTTGTGGGCAGAGCGAGCATTTATATTTTAGCCTGAAGCAAAGTTTTGGTTTTGCCTTTCCCAGATGGAGGACAGGTCCCCCAGTGCCAGTACCTCCAGTGGGACTTGCTTGATAACCTTTAGCTGTAACATTGCAAAGAAGACTCTGACCTCTAAATATAGATTTGGATATTTATAAATCCGATGCTTTGTACACACAGCATTCGGTGCGACGTAAACAGCTCCAGCAAATTGTATTTACCTCCAGCATGGAAACAAATGCTTGATTGCATCACATGAGCTTGCTCAGTGGCTTTTATTTATATACTGCTGGCCGTACCAGGCAGGGAAGGGTAGAATGCTTCCTCTTGTCTTTCAACCCCTAAAAGACCCTGAGATTTCTCTTTAGCTACCATTTGCCCTCTTCTTAAGCTCTTTGGTAGACTGTTTACGTCTTATTTTATAGACTCTGAGTATGTACGTATAAATATACACATTTCAGAGTCATGTGGTCTGCTTTTCTCAAGAATAACAGACGGCAACTTTATGATCTGAGTGATTTTATTTGAACACAGCTGTGGCCTTGTGATTTAAATATTTCAATAAATTTTAAACTAACTAGATGAGAGGAAACTGTGCAGGGAAAACAGGTTAGAGCATGGAAGGAGGATTCCCTGACGGTAGAGGCAATCTGGGCTCTGCACAAACACTCCTGGCCTCGTCTTCCTCACATGAGAAGGCCTTTGACACCTTCCTTGGTCGGAAAGCCCATCCCAGCGTCCTCTCCCCTCCTTGAAGGCGGTCAGGCAGGGATGGAAATCAGTGGCAGGGGGTGAGGGAGTGATGCTACGAGCTCAAGTGTTGTTCCTTTGGGTCCAGGCTGGCTAAAATGCAGCCCCAGGCTCTGAATGTGTTTGTTCAGGCATCACTGCACCTTTGAGCGTCTGGTTATGAGAGGAGTTCGAGGAGGTTTTGGCTTCTTCCTTCAGCAGCGTGAATTCCTTGTTTTTCTCAGATGTCTCATGATGAGAAGAGGGGAAGGGGGAACTGCAGGAGCAGACTGCAGACTTGGCTGCCATGCTTGTGGTCTCCACAACTGGGTTGTTTTGAAACGATCACAGCTCTTGTTTGTTGGGCTGTACCTGTGGCAAAGGATGGCATACCTGTTACTGTGTAAATGTATCAGTGAGGGCCGGGTGAAAGATTTGCAGATGAAAACACAGGTACTACAAGCCAAGGAGGTTTCACATCCTAAAGCCACCAGCATCAGCCTGTTTCACACCATCGTCCTCAAGATCTCTGTGTGCCAAGTTCCTGCTCCATTGATTTCGTGGTGGTCCGCATACCTTTTACCCCTGCCTTGGGTTCCTGTAAATCTCCTCCATTCCTTGGTGTTTTGGTCATCTGGGGAGTGCAGTTCAGTGTTCCTAGATGTTGTTTTCAGCTCTACCAGCTTTTATTGATGATCACTGGATGGGCTTTGCAAGGGCAAATTCCCCTATTCAAAACAGCTTAAAAGTCCACTTTTCAGAAGTAAGAGAGGCTTTTCAACATCATCCCCTTGAAATTTCTTTGTAGGATCAGGCCCTTAATCACTCTGTGCTGTAGCTTCTTCATATGTAAAATGGAGGTCAAGACTGTTTGTTCCTAAAAGACCAAGTGGTTTAATTTCATCTGAGATCATTAGAGAATAGCAGTGATAATGCTACTATTAATTACAAACAGTGTTTATTAGAGTTTTTCTTTCCTTGTGCCAATGATGGTATTTCTTTTTTACTTAAAGGTCCCCCTGTGTTCATTAAAAAACCTGTGGACCAAATTGGTGTGTCGGGAGGGGTGGCCTCATTCGTATGCCAAGCAACTGGAGACCCAAAGCCACGGGTCACCTGGAACAAGAAAGGGAAGAAAGTGAACTCTCAGAGGTTTGAGGTAAGAGATGTCCTTGAAATCTGTGTCTGCGTGTGTATGAAGAGAGAGAGACTGACACAAAGCAGCTACTGCTCTTTGGTTATTCTCAGACCCGATGATAAAGGGAGGTTTGGAAGGGGAGGAGTTTTAACAGCAGAAGGAGTGAAATGCAAGCTCTTGGCCGTGTCAACAGCTGGGGTTGTTCCAAAGCAAGAGAGAACTTGGCTCACATTATTGTAGTTTTTTCTTTTGTTTTGTTGTGGGTTTTTTTTCCCCCTCCTGGGATATAATATAAAGCTGCCTTCTTCCTTCCCTAAGAAACCCCAGCTAAACGGGTGGTACTTCAGCTCTGTAAATGCACCTTTCATACCCATCCATGGCCCCTTATTTTAACCCTGGGACAGCCTGGAGTAAACATGAAGTTGCTGGCAACCAGACCCGAGCAATTGGCATTGTTTAGATAGAAATGAGAGTGGAGGAACAAGGACTAGGAGGTCATCCTGTGGAATTTGCTGTGGGACTCAGCCCTGCCAGGCAGCTGTGTGCTGAGAGGGGCTTTGTAGTGTCAGCTGCCCGTGCAGATGGAGGAAGAAGGCAGGGGTTCATTTTTTTTGTTTTTTTCACTTGGTCCGTTTCCTCCTCCTCCGTCGCAGTTGTATTCTGAATACCCGCCCCGCACACACTGTCACCATGGCTCGTTCTTTCAGAGAGTTTGAGATGTACGAGGCAGTTTCGGTGGGTCAGTGCTCAGAGACAGGGTTTGGCATGCGACAGTGCTCTGTCACCTTGAGGTTGGTGGAGAGACAAGTTGACTGTGTCGGTTGTGTGTAGGGGATTGTGGGGCAGCTGCTGAAGTACGTTTGTGAGTGTGCATGCTTGTATATACGCTGGTGCCTCCTTTAGAAGCA